ATGAAACTGTTTCATCCGCTCACCATGACCAGGCATGAGCTATACTGCCACATTCTGATAACAAAGGTCTCAAGACTGATCAGGAGAAAAAGGCTCAACCAGAGCTGAGTTTAACAAAGCTTAAACCGCATGATCAACCACTACAAGATGAGTCTTCTAACACTTTAAACTTACTTGAAGTAATCTGTTATAAGTGTCAAAATAATGGTCACTATGCTAAAGAATGTCCAGCTAAGAAAGTAGAAATTTCCACATCTTTAGAACTGAAGAGTAATAGTGTTAAAGAGAGTCATGTTAAATCTGAACTTAAATATCATAAATGTTAATATAATACACTTGTCTTTGCCAAAAGATGTTCAAACAGGTTCTAGTGTATCAAGAGAAGAAGTAACTCAAAAGGATTCAGCAGCTCATGCTTCAGATCCGAAATCTGCCAAAAACACTATTTATTTTGTGTTGACTGAAGATATGAAACTGCAAGCACATATTCAGCCTGAACCAAAGGTTGAGCGAGATATAGCTATGCAAGAGAGACATTCAGAAGCTCATTACTCATTAGCTTATCAACATGAGGGGCATTATTAATCTGACATTAAAACACTTAAACCAGCTAACCTTGCTTCAATGAGAATGATTACTCAAGCTAAATCATTACAAAATGTTTTGTGTGGCACACAAGTAAGTGAAATTCAAAACTTGATTCAATTTCGGAATAACATTACAATTAGCCAAAGTTTTAAATACTTTGTTTTTTGAAATTTTTAAAGTCAATTATAATGCACATGTTCTTGCCCTTGAGTGTTAGTAAAAGAACAGGTGCTTAAGGAAGAGATTAAAGGTTTTGGAGAAACAACATTAAAGCATAATGCATTCTCTGGTCAACACCAACACCAATGCATTATAGAGACGGTTATGTACAAAACTTTAACAAAAGAAGTTAAAAATATTCTTTTCATTTCGGTGATTGAGGGGCCACCAGATTCAAACCAACCAAACCACACCCAAAGCAAACAAAAATCACAAGGTAAGTGTCTAGATGCTTTTGTGTACTTGCTAGAGTTCACATGTTTTATGATGATGCAGGAAATGAAAGGTAGACACGAAATCTAAGCTCCCAGAAAAAAGAGTGGACATACACAGTGTTATAACACCTGTTGAGAGAGCTCCAAAGATCAAGCTAGAACATTCATTCAACCTGGAACCAAACAACAAGTGGAAACCAAAAGTTGAACAAAGACTTGTCCACGCCATGGTTAACCCTAAAATAAGTTTAGACCTAGATCAGTATGTTCCTTCTGATTCATTTACTGCATTAATGCACCTGTCTTGTCCAAAAGACATTGAGAAATATGTAGATAGACAAGACGAACATAAGACGCGAAAAGTCAAAGTTTTAAATACAGATCAAATAAGAGATCATAATGACTACTGAAACTTTGTAAGCAATAAATCAGTAGCATACCATGGAGAGGTGTCGTAGCATCCATGCTAACTAAGAAAGAACCACCGGATGCACTACAGCAACCACATCTGAAAAGAATCCACAATTTGACTCGAGGTAATTTTCTAAACCCTCACTTAACTCAAGGTAATAATTTGAATTATCTATGTACAGACTATACAGTTTTGAGGACAAAACTTCGTGAAGCGAGAGGATATGATGAGGTCATCAGAACTAAAGTAAATTTTTTATTTCCGAGCAACAAGAAAGCCCAGCCACGAACCAAACAAGGTAAGACTGTTTACTTGGCAGAAATTAGAGTTAAAATACCAATAATCTTCCAGAAATCACTTCCACTAGTAAAAAAACAGCTTATAACCACGACAGAGTCATGATGGTGTCGTGGCTTTTCTGAAACAAGTCACGAAAAAGCCACGAAAAGGCCACGTAAGCGAAAAAAGAAAGAAACGTGACAATTTCGTAACAATTTCGTGGCAAAGTTGTCATGTTTTAGTCACGCAAATTGGTGTGGCAAGGATAGCCACCAAAAGGCCACGAATATTTCGTGGCAACATAGGCACGAACAGTATTCGTGACTAAATCATGTCAAACTTTGTCACGGTTTATCCACGTTATCTATTGTGCGGGCATTGCGCCGAAAACATCATGTCAACCAGTGTCACAGGTCGAATATATTCGATAATTGACAGACATTAATAAATCGTTGCTATTCCGTAACATAATTGTCATGTTTTAGTCACAAAAAAACCATGGCAAACCAAGATAATTGTCCAACACGGGTTCCCTTTCCAGAAACTCCCATCAACCAGGACTGTGGGGCGAATATATTTGACTAATAGTCACGAAAATGGACCGTGGCTAAAATTTTCTATATAAACAAACTCAATTCTCGTTCATTTGGATCATTCAGCTCATTTTATCATCTAAACACTATATATTCTCTTTTTTTTATTCCAATATTTTTGTTTCTATAAAGAAAATTTACCTAAAATGTCTCACTTTTTCCAATCTAGAGAGTGGATGGATCGACATATTGATACAAAAAAAATTGTGTATCAGAAGAGTTTATAGAGGGGGTAAATGTTTTTCTTATATATGCTTGTAATCAAGCATTTTATCAAGAACTTAACACTTTATTGTGTCCCTGTGCGCGGTGCAAGAATCAGAAGCGACGCGATGCAAGAGCTATATCTCGCCATCTTTTTAAAGTGGGATTTAAGGGGAATTACTATGTTTGGTCCAGCAATGGTGAAAGTTGTAACGATGTTGGTTATTCTTCAACGGCTGGCTATTTTACCAGGGAAGCAGAGCAAGAAACATATTTATCAGTTCCGGCTGATGCATACGAGCATTATCCAAATGCAAATGTGAACGTGGGAGAAGATGTGCCATTGGACGATGTATTCGAGAATACTAACGAAGAGCCTTATCATGATAGCGTTTTTCAAGCTTTTGAAGCCGCCAATCAACCTCTTTATGATGATTGTATAGAAGAAATTTCTCAGTTATTTGTGGCTTCACACATGATGAAATCAAAATCTGATCACAATATATCAGCGGCATGTGTAGATGAGATGTCACGGACTTTGAAGAGTGTTCTCCCAAAGCCAAACACAGCTCCATCATCATACTATGAGACGAAGAAGCTAATGAAAGCGCTTGGGCTACCAGTGCATGAGATTGATGTTTGTGAGGATAATTTCATGCTTTTTTTGGAAGGAGGAAGATCGAAATCTATTATGTTGTCGATTTTGTGGTAAAGACAAATACCATCTGAACAATGGCATGGGAAAAAATCGAGCTAAGCAAAGAATGTTTTACATGCCACTGGCGGAGCGGTTGAAGCAGTTATACCAATTGGAAGCTACTGCATCTCATATGCGATGGCACGCTGACAATGTCTCGCCTGAAGGAGAAATGCATCATCTGTCTGATGGAGCAGCATGGAAGCATTTTAATAAGGTGTATCCTGATTTTGCAGCGGAAAGTCAAAATATTTATCTAGGCTTATCAACAGATGGATTTAATCTTATTGGTATGAATGGCGAGGCACACTCAGTTTGGCCAGTGATCGTAACTCCGTATAATTTGCCTCCCGGTATGTGCATGAAAAGGGAATACTTCTTTCTATCGATACTAGTTCCTGGGCCAAAACACCCGAAGAAAAGTCTTGATATTTACCTTCAGCCGTTGATTGAAGAATTACAGAGTTTATGGAGCAATGGTGTGGAAGCGTATGATATATCAAGAAAGCAAAGATTCAAAATGCGAGCTGCCTTGATGTGGACCATCAGTGACTTTCCGGCGTATGGCATGTTGTCTGGTTGGATGACACATGGCCGTTTAGCGTGTCCATACTGTCTAGATGACACAAAATGAAAGGAAGCACATTTGGTTTAACTGCCATCGAATGTTTTTACCGGATGATCATCCTTGTAGGGGAAATACTCAAGTGTTTAGCCGGGAAAAGTCAATAAGGGAAGATCCTCCGCCATGGTTAAATGGCGAAGAAATTCTTTGAGAAAGAATAGACAACATTGTGGGGTTGTCCTGAACAGTCGATTATGGAGGAAACAGACACGAGAAGTCCGCTCGACCTATATATGGCTACGGAAGGATCATAATTGGGTGAAAAGGAGTATTTTCTGGGAGTTACCGTACTGGGAAAATCTTCTTCTTCGACACAACCTTGACTTTATGCACGTGGAGAGAAATTTCTTTGATAATCTCATCAACATGGCGTTAAATATTTCTGGAAAGACAAAAGACAACATTAAGTCGAGGTTGGATCTCCCTGGTTTGTGTAAAAGATGTGAGCTGCATCTTAACGAAGATGGTACAATGCTTGTACCAATTTTTCGGCTCTCGAACGAAGGTAAAAAACAATTCCTTTCATGGCTGAAAAATGATATAAGATTTTCAGATGGTTAAGCCTCAAAGTTTAGTCATTGCATTGACGAAAACAATTTGAAGATATCGGGTCTGAAAAGTCATGATTGCCATGTCATCATGCAACAACTTCTCCCATTTGCGTTTTCAGAACTCCTTCCAAGAAATGTGCACATTGCAATTTCAGGTAACGGCTTCTCCCATTTGATATTTCAGGTAACAACTTCTTCCATTTAATTAATATTATTATATATTGTAGAGATAGCACTATTCTTTCGGGATATCTCATCAAGGACTTTACGAGACGAGGATGTTGCTCTTTTGAAATCAAATATCATGGTTTAACTTTTTAATCTAGAGAAGATATTTCCTTCATCGTTCTTTGATGTCATGGAACATCTTCCGGTGCACCTGCCAGATGAAGCTGCTTTAGGTGGTCCAATCCAATATATGTGGATGTATCCATTCGAGAGTTACATGTATCATCTGAAGAAAAAGGTTAAAAACAAGGCGCATATATCAGGTTCGATCATTGAACATTGTTTGAATGAGGAGATTTCGAATGCAGCCGGAAATTATTTTGGAAATCCCGAAGTTGTAGACGAACCTGCAGTTCCCGGAGAGATTCAATTTACATATTATTATCCAAATGTGTCAAGCTTGTTCTACTATGAAGGCCAAGTTAGTGGAAAATCCACAACTAGATGGTTGACAAATGAAGACTACACCGTGCTACAGACATTTATGTTGCTTAATTGTGACACATTTGCACCATATGAAAGGATTGTATTTACTTTACAGATATTTGATTAAGATATTTGAAGAGTATATGACTATATAATTGGAATCTCATTGTTATAGTTGTGTGACTATATGATTTCAGAACTTACACAAGATGTTTGAAGAGTATATGATAGAGCGTAACCCAACAATTACTAGTAATACACTGCAATTAGCGAAAGACCAACAATTTGCATAATGGTGTAAAGATTATGTGAGTTTCATAAAGTTATCATCTTTGTTAACTATTATCAGCAAAAATGAGTATATAAATACAATTTTATTTGCAGATTAAAAAGGCTACTCAATCATATGAATTTCCTATGTGGATGTTGGATTTTGTTCAAGGTCCGAGAAGAAATTATACATCTTGGCATATATACTTGTTACGAGAATACCGCTTTCACACGCATGCCCATGGCCAAAATAAGAAAACTCTACATTACGATGTATATGTTAAGGGAACCACTGATGCTGATTATTACGGGCTCATTGAAGATATTATGATGATCGAGTACCATGGTGCCGTTGGGCTCAAAGCTATGATTTTCAAATGCAAGTGGTTCAGTACTACAGAAGGCTGTGGATTTCACAAACATCCTTCAAGTATCGTCGATGTGTCTCCGCATAGACGATGTGAGAAATATGATCCTGTTATATTATCCGGTAATTGTAATCAAACATGTTTTATCGCTTATCTACACGTTCGTCGTTCCTCATCTGATTGGTGGGCCTGTACAAAAGTTATGCCACGAGAGTTTCGTTAAACTTCTGAAGTAGCTCTACAAGCAGTACAAGACGATACACGCAACCAGGTTGTAGCAGCAAGTGCAATGATACGAATTGAATCACATGTTATGGAAGATGCTTCTAATTATGATATGCAACATGTATGTCCTCCAAATGATGAATACATATCAGAAGATGAATTAGAAAATTCGGCTAATGACTATGATTCTGATACTGATTCTGATTATGGTTCTGACTAAGTTTTATCACATCTTTAAGCGTATGCATAATTAAACTTTATTTTCTAAATATTACAATAAAATTAAGATTTTCTGAATGATGTATTAAAATTATAAAACTACAATTTTAAATAAAATCAAACCATAAACCCTAAAATCAAATTCTAAACCTTAAAACCAAACCTTAAACCCTAAAATCAAAACATAGACTGAAAATTTCAATTGAAAATTTTATCCTCAAAATTTTTCTAACACTTGCATAATTATTTTATTTTATAGAAATATACCCTAAACCCTTAAACTCAAACCCTAAATCCATAATACAAACCCTAAACCCTAAAGAGTTTAAAATAAAAATTATAAAGTTTAAGATTATAAGTATAAGATATAAACTAAAAATTATAAGTTTAAGATTATAAGTTTATTAAAATTATAAGTTTAAGATATAAACTACAAATTAAACTGAAATTTATAATAAATTTAGAATTTAACTAAATTTTGTTTCTTATTATTATACAAACTATACAAATTTTCTATATTATTTAGTTTCAGATTATAATTATGATTACTCTAGTTAATATGTAATTATAATAATCGTTAATTATAAAACTTCTCTATTTTTTTGATTAAACCATGCACAAAATTAATTAAACAACCAAAATTCAGATTAAACCACTAAATTTTTGGTTTCCCTCCAATTTATTTAGTTTATCTCACCAAATTTTGGTTTATCCCACCAAAACAATTTCATCCCATATATTCGACCCAACACTTTGACAAAAACAAACCTTTCTCTATCTCGTCTTCTTTGTCTTCTTCCTCTCCAACCTTCTTCATTCCCTTGTATTCTTCGTGTTCTTCTCCAGCTCGTTCCTCTCGATACCTCTCTCTATCTCTTATTCTTCGTCTGAATCGATTCCTAAATCCTGAACTCTTGTTTATCGTCTTCATCGTTTCCTAATGATCTCTCTTCTCTCTTCGTCGATCTCTCTGCATCGATCTCTTTCAATGGCTCCTCCTCTCCAAAACTGCAGTAACCCAGTCACCGCCAATAACCATGACTCGGGTAAGTCTTCTGGATCGATAAACAATTAGGGTTTCTCGTTTTGCTTGAAGTTTGGATTAGATTTAGAGTTTTGATTTGGGTTTCTCTTGTGTGGCTAATTTTTGTTTGTTTGGAGTTCGAATTGAGTTTTGATTTGGGGTTCCTCTTGCTTGAAGTTTTGACTAGAATTTGGGTTTGGATTGGCTCTTGCATGTTTATGTATGTGTTTAGCTGTGACTAATTTTCACGAAATTGTCACTAATTTTCGACTATATTCATAAAACTGTCACTAATTTTTGGCTCACACGAGTTGTTCTTATTTTTGGCTAATGTTTTTATGTGTTGGCTCACACGAGTTGTTCTTATGTGTTCGCTCACATTATTTTTCTTATGTGTTCGCTCACATTATTGTTCTTATGTGTTTTCTCACATTATTGTTCTTATGTGTGAGTGTGTATATGTGCTTAGCTATAATCTTTAGTGTGTGTGTGTGTGTGATCTTTAGTGTGTGTGTGTGATCTTTAGTGTGAGTGTGTGTGTGTGTGATCTTTAGTGTGTGTGTGTGTGTGTTATGTTTGTGTGTGTGTGTGTGTTTGTGTCTGTGTCTCTATCTGTGTGTGTGTGTGTCTGTCTGTGTATGTGTCTGTGTCTGTGTGTGTGCGCGCACGTGCGTGCGTGCGTGCGTGTGCGTGTGTGCGTGTGTGTGTGTGTCTGTTATGTTTTTGTTGTTTTGACAAGTCATGCCATACCACCAAGAGCTGTTAAGTCTAGAAGCTCTTCAGGTCCTCACTCGCTACTAGGAGCTGTTGGATCTATAAGTGGTCCTGCCATGCCACCAAGCGCTGAATCTTCAAGTGCTAATAACTACAACCGTATGACCCTAGAAGCATTATTGAATGATCCCTCCAGAGAGCTTCAGCCACACCTCCATCCAAGGAAACTCAATGGCTTTATCGCAAGTTCTTTACAAAACTGAGTCCTCTTATTTCTTCTTATAATGTATTGTCATCTCTGTTTGTAGGTTCGGTGTAGACCCCTCTGTCCACAAATTCATTCGAACAACATGGCAAGCCTACTACATGGGACCATAGAGTAGCTGGAAATTTGTTCCTGAGGAGAGGAAAGATAAGTGGTGGCAGACTTTTGTGGTAAGTGTTGTACTTGTTTCTGAATTAATTGTTGTTTACTTTTATGGTAATACATATATTAATGTTCATTGTTTTCATTGTAGCAAAACTACTACTGAGAAGATCGTTTTAAATCCAACGTCTACCGTCTTTGGAAGTTGCACACACAGACAACAACATGCCAAAAGATCAGTAAGAAGAAGAGACTGAACCAGAAGCCTAAGTTCATAAGCGAATCTGACTGGACCACTCTGCTGGAGTTTTGGTCAACAGAACCAGCCTGTAAAAAGAGCAAGGCAGCGGCTTCATCTCGCATGACACCCCATGGTAAGAAAGGGATACACAAGCATTGTGCAAGTCCTCAAAACTTTTTGAAGATCGAATATGACATGGTAAGTGGATATCTTTCTCTCCTTTTTTTAATCTTTAATATGTTATATTCTCTACTTATTTTATTTATCTACACGTTTTTCAGATGGCGGAGTCTGGTCTCGATGAACCACCACCTTACACTGATCTCGTGCGTAAGACACACTCGTGATCAGATGGAACTTTCGTTGATGGTTGATCAAATTCTCTTGTTCTTGAAGTAGAGGAAGTCGTCGCAAAGATGACAGCTAATGATGGATCTCCTCATTCTGACAGCCAAGGCACCTCAACAGCTGCAACGTCTGCAACTCCTACTCGCATTCTCCTCAACCAAGAATTTCTCAAGGTACTCTATAATAACTCACTCATTGCTTTACTCGCTGCTTGATGATAGTTAGAGAAATGGATTTGGGTTTGTGTTATGGATCGACTTATTGGCTATAATGATTTTGTGTTTGTGTTGTGACTCGTTTTGACTTGTTAGTGTGGTGACTCGTTTTGACTTTTCATGTTAGCGATGTGTTTGTGTTGTGATTCGTCTCGACTTGTGAGAATAAGAACTTGAGTTGCTATTTTGTAGTGTTTAAGAATGTGTTTTTAGACTGTGTTGTCTCTGACTTTGTATGTTTGTTTATTTTTACAGCGCAGCAAGACAATGTGAGGGAGAGTATACGGAATAGGCAGTGTGCAGCTTCGGAATTTCACTCTGACTGAGTCAATCCATGAATCTCATACACTCACCGTCGACATGGACATGCGTATCTCCGGTTTGGAGGCTAATACAAAAGCTGTCAACATCAATGTTGAAACGCTCAAGGAAGATGTGGTGGCGATGAGGGGTGAGTTCAAGGAAGAGTTGGCCACAGTCAAGAATGAAATGGTGGCCGTACTAAATGCATTCCTACAAAAGGTTGGTACCACTCCGATTTCTACTACTGCTGCTGATGCCTCTCCGCATCGTGCTGCTGCTGCCTCTACAAATCCTGCTAACACCACAAACCCAAGTCAACAAAAACCTACACTACATGAGATGTGTGCTGTTTTATTAAGAGATTAGTTTTTTTTAATATTTTTGAATGTTAAAGTGTTTGTTAAACTTTTATGTTATGTTTCAACACTTTTTGATGTATAATATTTTAATTGATTATTATATTTTCGTATTTTAAATGATGGTTTAGCAACATGATTTGAGTTTCTTACAAAAATATGTTTTTATTATTAAAATTCGAAAATATTTTTTTTTCTTTTTTTTTAATCCATAACCACAGTTAAGTCACTAATATTTTGTGGCTACACTAGTCACAAAATAGCCACGAATAAGTCGTGGCTATATAGACACGGATAAATATGACTAATTCGTGACTAAGGTTGCCACGAAAAACAGTGGCTAATTTGTGGTTATATAGACACGAATAATTGTGTAACTAATTCGTGACTAACATAGCTACAAAAACTACTAGTGGCTAATTTGTGGCTATGTAACCACGAAAAGCCACGAAATAAATTAGTCACGATCGTATAATCACGGTTTTTCTCCGTGACTTTTCGTGGCTATAATATAGCCACAGTATTTTTGCGTTAGTCACAAAAGAAACAGTGGCTATAGCCAGGTTTTTTACTAGTGTTAGGAGCTTCAAGATATAATCAGAACAAGATATGGAGTGGATATCACACAAAAGAACGTAAATCAAAACCTACTTGAAGATCACGGCAGGAAATTTGATAATGCAAGAAATGAAGAGTTCATAAGAGACTGTCCAAGCATGAATATTAGTCCATAGAAAGATTGGCAACTTTTAAAATCAAAACAAGGAGAGAGGACTTCACTTCAATACAGCTTTCAAATCCAAGAACTACAACTTCCGTATTTTGATTCAACTCACACGCCTAAGAGGTAAGAAAGGTAAGTCTTTATTTTAATTATTTGAATTATTTGACTAACCTTCTTGTTTCTCTTTTTGATTCCTAGCAGATAAAGTTATGTTATTTCATTTTAATTAGCAATATTTTCCTTTATGAAGTTTTGTATTTGTTCCTTTAATTTTGCTACTAGGTAATAACTAATACATGTTCAGGGTGAAATAATTAATACTAGGTGGTTGGTCCGCACATATGTGCAGGTATAATTTTTTGATATACATAATTAATTATAATATTTAAATTTTAAACATTTGTATGTTTGTATATATATATATATATATATTGTTTTAATATTTCACAAACTTCTTTCTGAAATCAATGTATTTTAAAATTTTTTATTTTTATAATGCTTGTAATAGTATATAATCACAAATATAAAAGTTATGTTAAATAATAATTAAATTCTTATAATATTAATATGCTTTATTTCTCCTTACACAATTTACAATATGCTTTTTTGCGTCTTACATAATATGAGTTTGTAAATATATATTTAATATATTTTAAGTATATATTTTTCTTGATTTATTGCAAATTAAACTGAAATAGTTTTTACCATTTTTACTTATTCCTAAGAGCGGATAGATGGTTGGCACGCATGTGCGGGCATACCAATCACTTTACTACACTTAGAATAATAAAGATTTTTTAAAAAAATATAAATTGGATAATAATTAAAATAAAAATTAGACTGTAATCAATCTTAACAAAATACATGCACAAAAAATTCGCATGTGACTTCAACTAATGTACAACTAATATTTATATATGTACGCGTATTTTTAAAAAAAAATTGACATATGGCTCTTACGTGTTAAAAATTTTCTAAGTGACTATATAAAACAAAGGGCGAGAGATTTATTTTTATATACTTCTATTTTTATCTCTTATTCATATTGTTTCATCTTATTATAATTTATTCTTTCGTTCGGTTATTTTTCAATTCATTTATGATCTCAAAATTTTAATATACAATGAAAACAAAATTATGTATATATATATATATATATATTAATATGATATAAAATTTTATTTTTATTTAAAATATGATAAGAGATAAGATGAGATGGTAACATAAGTTATGCACATTTTAGAAAATAACAATAAAAAGATGATAAAAGTTATAGAAAAATATATGGTTCTATTAATATTATAAAATAATAATTAGTATATACTTTATTCATTTAGTAAATATTGGTTTGAAAATATTTTTTTTTAAATTACGTTTTTTTAAAAAAAATCAATAAAAGTTAATTATTTTTATTATTTTTAACATTTTATTCTTTAAATTATTTTTCTCATGATTTTATTTTATTTAAAATTTTATTTAATAATTTCTTTATTTAAAACTTTTTTAGATTTAATTAATAACTTTCCGAAATAAAAATATATCATACTTAAAGTATTATTAATAAATATAATTTTTACTATTCTATTGGATAATTTAATTTAATTTTTTTTTTATATGAAATTATAATATATATATATTGATGAAAAAATTTCGTAATTATTTTTTATGAAATTATGAATATATGTAAAAAATTAAAATTATAATAGCTTTTATTTTCTGTTAATTTTAGTGTTATAAATATAATTTAGTTTATTTATGTTTTAATTTCATAATTTCTATAATTTCAATTCAACCAATCAAAATATTTCATTTATTTTAGGAAGTTTGACATGTCACATTTACATGTCATCAATTAAAAGCACTAACTTTAATTGTAGTGTTGACAAGTAAGCAATTTTCAATAATGTTACTTCTCAAATAATATGTAGTGGATTAAATTATAAATATATGTAAAAAATTGAAATTATAATAATAATTATTTTCTGTTAATATAAATTTGTTAATTTTAGTGTTATAAATATAATCTAGTGCATTTATGTTTTAATTTTATAATTTCTATAATTTTAATTCAACCAATCAAAACATTTCATTTATTTTAGGAAGTATGACATGTCACATTTACATGTCATCAATTAAAAGCACTAACTTTGACTGTAGTGTTGACAAGTCAGCTATTTTCAATAATGTTACTTCTCAAATAATGTGTAGTAGATTTATTTACATTAATGTAATTTTAAAATCATATAATATAATCTAATTGATTTTATTTTTGTTTATACGCTAACATTAACAATATATAATATTGACAACATGATATATAATAAAACACTATTCAATTTGTGTATAATACGGCTGAGTAAAAATTCGAAGTCGCCATATGAATTTTTTTATATCATGTGATTAATGACATGATTGAACATTTTCAACAATGCTCAAGCTTTGTGTATACAACACTTATATACAATTTTATTTCTTTTTGGCACTGAAAAAATGATCAGGCCATGTTTGTTTTTGCATTCAGATGATATGTATAGATACAAATGTTCAAATATTATTCTTTTAAACACTATTAATTTATCATCTGGATTTTGTATTTGGATACAAAATCAATAATATCTTAAAATTTTGGATATTTGAGATGGCAAAAAAAAACATTTGAATGAAACATTTGCATCTGAAAAACCAAAAGACCAAAAATACTCTTTAATATGATATAAACCATAAAATTAAATTTTATTGTAAAAGCATAAGATTTGATTTTCTATAGAAATCATAAAACCGAATTTTCCTGTTGAAAGCATAAAATCACGTTTTTCTCTAAAAAGTGAATTTTTTACCAAAACTTTGAAATAGCATTTTCCACCAAAACTGAAAATTTTCTGTTAAAATTGCATACATGTATTTTTATGCATAATTATTCTTTTCATCAAAATCATAAAACCATTTTTAATGGCCAAATTTCTGAAATAGCGTTTTAAAATCGTGTTTACATGGCAAAATCTTAAAATTGCTGTTTTTTTGGTCAACGATGTAAAAACTAGTTAAAAATAAAAAATAATGTCTAAATGATGCATTTCAAAGTTGAAATCTGAAAATTATTTATATTGCTACATTTATACATTCATAGTTTTTCATTGAAATTGATAATAGTTAGGAAAGTTTTTCATTAGTTAAAAATCAGATCGTTTACCAATCATCTTCAATTAAGTCAATATTGTTTCAATTTAGCATTTATTACTTTCAATCATTGATTGATAAACACTTCATCAATTTTTAATTGAGTAATCTTTACTATATGTGAAAGATTGAATTAACAATAATTTTGATTAAGTTCCAAATTTAATATTAATATTATGTTATAGTAATTGTATATTTGTTTGAATTCATATATTGTATGTGAAATAATTAAGTATTAATTATTTTGTTTTTATTAAATTATTTTAGAAATGATATTGATATTTTGAGAAAGTATAAACTGGAAAGTCTAATTTGGACATTATAATTTTCAAATTAAACCATATAAAGAATATTAGTTAAAAACTATTACAATCATATATATGTGGATTGAAATTATTGCAAGACATATGAATTGTTACTTGCACGGTGGTTGTATAAGATTTATAATATCAGCTTTGATAAGCTGAAACCTAAAGTTCAAGTCTCATGTATAGTATTTTTCAGGTATTTAGTTCACAATTTTATTAGAGTCAATTTATGCATTTTTGTAAAAAATAAATAATAGTTTTTATACAAATGTATGTTTTAAATTTTTTAGGTAATAATGTATATTTAATCTAATTTTTTAAATCAAATAAAATAATATATTTTCTTGTAAACATTAATATAGAACTTATCACATAATGATTTTGTTTTTAAAGTGTACATTTTTTAACTTTAATGTAATAATATATATTTAATTTGGTTTTTAAAAAAATTGAATACAATCATATATTTGCATGTAAATAATTAGCCCACAGTTTTATTAGAGTGAATTTATGCATTATAGTAAAATAATTTTTCACTTAATGATTTTTTTAAAAATATACATTTTTAAACATTTATGTAATAATATATTTAATTTGAATTTTTAAAAGTTAAATACAATCATATATTTTCATGTAAATACTAATATAGAATTTATCAAATATTACATATAATAGTTAGGATATTTATCAAAATATTTTGTATGTAAAAATATATATAATTTAATAAATTATATGAAAACTTATACATATTTTGTTGGATTATTACCTTAGTTTTTTAAAATTATCTTTTAGTTCATGTAATATTGTATACTATATATTTGCATAAAAATATTAATATTTGAATAATATGTATTTATATTTAATGTTAGTCTAATAAAAAATGTATAATGGCATATCATATAATTAGTTTAGTAAACAAAAGTGTTTTTTTTTAAGTTTTGTAAGAAGTTTTATGGTGGTGACACATCATTATAATGGCATCGCTGTAAATAATTATAAAACTAAGGTTATTCTTAAAAAAATGCTTCTTAATTAAAATATAGGGGATGTTCCTTGAATTTTCTTGTATAATTTTGGTCAGAAAAGCCTCAGCTGCAAAGCTATTTATAAAGCTCCTTTTCAGCTTGTAACACTTAACATTTTTTTTAATCAATAAAATAAACCTGTTTTTTTTCTTGTACAAGTTTTGTTTTTGTCGCGTCTTTTGCTACTGTTATTTGTGTGGATTCACTTAGAGTTGAACCCGTTTTGTTGTATCAAAGAATTTCCTGTACTCTTCGTAGTGTTTTCATTCCCTCCCTTGTCCAGATCTCTTGTGGAATCAAGTTGTCTTGTTCAAGTGCTGATTGTGGAATCATTCAGCAACCCCTCCATCATCCATTAAAGCTGCAGATTTTGAAACTGTGTGTTACAAGTTTGGTGGGTTGCAGATCTTGAAACTTTGTGTTATAAGTTTGGTGAACTATATGCTTGTATCAGGATATGTTATGTTCATTGGTGACTCTCTTGTATTTTGTAAATCTAAAAAGCAAGTTCGGCTGAAGCTATGTACAGAGCCATGTGTATGGCAACAAAGTAACTGATTTGGATAAGTAAGATTTTTAAAGCTCTTTGCATACTTTTCTCACCACCGGCTTATCTCTACTATGACAACACTGCGGTTTTGCACATTGCGAGCAATTCAATGATTTTAATTGTCATAAGGTGCAAGAAGCGATTGAGGTTGGCGTTATCAAGACTATGTTCGTTTAGACGGATAATCAACTCGCAGATATCCTTACTAAAACCCTCTATCCAGCTTTTTTGAGAAACTATTAATAAGATAAATGTTCAGAGTATCTATACAACTTCATCTTGAATAGTAATATTAATGTATAAAGTCTGGTGTATCTCAGTTTAAATTATTTGTAGGAGTTAGTTAGTAAATATATATAAAATGTATAACAATCATTTTATACATTCTTTGAATAATAAATCATTTTCACATATTTATAGCTTCTATTAGCTAGAAATTTCTCAAAAAATAAAAGGTATTTAGGTTTAAACATAATATCAAAAAGTCCAAAACTGGAAAATTGAGTGAACCGAACTGACAGATATGGTATAGGTTTGTAGCTACCAAACAACTCGAACGGAAATTGGTATTAATACAAAGAATCTAAACAAAACAAATATCAACCAATTTCGATCATCTCATGACCATCTTTGATCCCGAACATGAACACTATTCTACTCTTAAGAAGCCAATACATCTCCAATTCACTATCGAATTAGAAATTTTTTGACAATTTTTGGGCTTTTATCGTGTTTACTACACTCTTTATTTTGGAAGATGCAATCAAATTGAACAAGTTGTGTTATTTACTCCAAACGGCGAATGCGCCCATAAGGTACTCGACAGAATTCCCCAATTGTCACATGGTTCTCACGTGATAAAGTCAGCCTCTTCGAAACCTAACCGTCAACTTTCCCGCCTCTGCTCTGTTTTCTCTCTCGAGACGAAGAAACTCGCAAGAAGCTTGAGAATCGTTGCTCTGTCCCTAACATGGAGACTACTTCCGCAAAAGATGATGAGGAAGCAAAATGAATCGTTGAACTCTCCGCAGGTTACATTGCTCAAGGAGAGTACCTCAAGGCCTTGGAGGTAATTGAAGATTCGGTTTTGTCTCAACGGAAGAAAAAGAAGAGTGTCTCAACTTTGCTTCATTTCCAGCAAGGTAAAATCTTTGGTGCAAAGATGAATAGAACAGAGAATAGTGATGTGAGATTCGCATTCTTGTTGGCTTCTGCGGAATGCTATTCGAGAGATGAAGGCATCTCATCGTTTTGTGCTTCTTTGCTGTTTGGTTTGGGTTCTTTGCTGGGATCGTCATTGTATTACAAGAAATCCGTAGAGAAAGCAAAAGAGTATTTAAATATTTTGTCTTCTTTTCGTTCATTGAGTTCGAACGAGCAGATTTGTCAAACCGATATCGAGGGTATGCTCAAAGCTGCAGAGTCAAGGATCGCTGAAGGTTCTCCTATGGTAAAGTTGGAACCAAAGGTTTGCGAGGCGAAGAAAAATCAAGATCCAAAGAAGATTGAGGTTAAAGGATTGAGTTCATATTGGATGGGTTTGAATGTTGAGATGAAAAGGGATTTTATGAAAGTAAGCACTGCAGAGTTTACGAGTTTTGTGGAGAGATTATATGGCACAGAGGGACGAGATGCTTTGATGCAAGCTCTTGATTCTGCAAGGGAAGACAAAAAAAATGGAGATTCTGGATGTGTCGATCTTGTTCACAAAAGTTCTCTAGTACTAAAGAATGTTAGAAACATCTTGAACAAGAACATAATGCGGCATTGAAGCCTTCGTTGACAAAGGATATGGCCCAGAAGATAAGTAAAGTCTGGGCTCGTAAGATATCTGATGGAAGTTGGGAACCAGTGGATGCGGTAGCTGCCGTTGAAATGATCAAGAATCAGCTCGAAGATGTGAAAGCGTTTGCGTATGTGAATAGATGGTCCAAAGACTGGCCTTTAGCTGCGGATGAAGATCGCAGTAAGCTACTCAAAGAAATCAGGTCGCTCCTTGTGTCGTTTTGGGACCGTAAAATTCTCTCATGTAGCGTCCGAGAGTGGGTGATGGATTTTGTGGTTAGCTAACTTGAAAAGCTTGAAGTTTCCAAAGATGCTCTTACCGATTGTCGCTTAAGGGAAATGCCTCAGAACATCTGTTTTCTGGAATGTCGTGATCTCAATCAGATCCTGGACTTTTTAAAGAAGATCAAGTGTGAAAGGGATGATGGCGCTGATGTGGTTCGCAGAGCAGTGGACAGTATCTACATTGGTATTCAAGTTAAGGAAAAGATCGACTTTGACATTGAGTTTTCATTTCTGATGCTGGATAAAAGGCTGCTGGGAGGCAAGATTGATCGATTTGATGATGATGGGACAATCAGTTTTGTTGAACCCAATGATCACTACGCCAAGGCACATGTTCATGGAGATGGTATCTTATCCTGGTTAGCTGACCACACCTCAGGAGATGAGAGTTTTCGATTTCCGAGACCTATCAGGGGACACAATCTTTGTATTTGGATGGCTATTTTAAGAGCCGTTCAGTTCTCGTGTAGAGCTTTGGAGGACAAAAGTGCAATGAAATCGCAGCTCCTAGATTATGGTGGAGCTCTTAGTGATATCAAGAAGCTGTGTATTAGTGAAGACGAGAATAGAAGGAATCTTCAAGAAGATCAATGGAACAATTATGCATCTATTTTGTGTGATAGATGTGAAGAGAGAGACACTGCAAAAGTATTCTTGTGTGCAGTACGAGATGTTCTCAAAGGAGAATTACATCCAACATTTGATTTCGCTGATCTAGAAGATTGCTTGAATGCCATACGTGGGTGTAAAAATCTCAGTGATGATGTAGTGTTGAAGTCCATAGACCTTCTGAAATTAGCCGTCACCAAAAAGGTTTGTTTCTTGATCTGAACCAATATGATTTAATGAAATTGTTTATCTTATAAGTGTCTATTAATTTTCAGGTTCCTATAATTGATTCAAAGATTTTGCTGATTGAATATTTAAGGATTAACTTGCTGAACGACTTCATCAGACTTTCTGTTTTTTACCACCGCTCTAACATCATTCGACCACTGAAAGAATTCTTGCTGGTTGGTTTTATACAGAGAGTTTTCATCTTCCCTCTGATTTGGAGCCTCTTTCACTTGTTCCTTACGTTATACTTGATGTCTGATTGTCTAGGAGGGAGCCGTAGAAGCAGATCTTTTACTTGGGGACGAGAAAAAACCAGAGTCAAAGAAGAAGAAACATAGAAGCAAGAAGGTCTTTATAGTTTCTAAATTCTCTATTTGCTTCTCTGAATTTTTAGTTACTCAGTTGTAAGAAGCAATGGTCTTCATAATGCAACAGAAAACTTCAAAGAGCATGCCTAGTCCCAAAGATAAGACCGTTGAAGAGTAAGTACCTTAAGATTCTCTTTCTGCATGTCGATGTTCTTTCGGTTTTTCTCTGAACAAAATGTGTTCTCCATGTCTAGTGAACACTCGGTGGAACCAGATAGCACTCTTTCAAGTGAAGGTATATTCCTCCAACATTGAAAAAGAAGAGGAAGCTGCTAAAGGTTGTAAGAGAGCTTCTCAGTGACGAAATTCTAAACCACTTTGTGTTAAAGATGCATAATTCTTGTTTCATTCATTTGCCATCTTCAAAGTATGCAAAACTTGCCTGGAGAAGATTCAGTTCTTAGAGAAGGTGCAACCAGATGCGATTCAGCTCTTACAGTGACTCTGAAGGTAATACATAAACTCTCATCTTATGATTCAGCTCATTCTGTTTCTATTGACTTACTTGTTCTCTTTGAAAAGCTTCGCGAAAACATGTCGTAGTGCAGGCCCTGTTGAACATTAAGGTTCTTAAAGAGGATTTGGTGCACAATGTGCAACCATTTCATGACGAGCTGGAAAAACAAATTCATGAGCGTCTTTACAGCTTTGTCCTGAGCGACTTGCTTACTTCCATAGATGATTGTTCTGTGGTCTGTGTAGCTATATATATATATATATATATAAACTTCTAAATATTATTATTTTGTTGAAAAGGCTTGACTGTTTTTGTACTCTTTTCAGTCAAGTAATGCTGCTAAAGTAGGTGTATCCATCCTTGAATCTTGGCATTGCTGGAAAAGTCTAAAAAAAGAAGGCTTGGTAACTCGTCTTTTTACACTGGAAGAATATGAACGAATGAGTTGTAGCAAATGCAAAAAGAAGTCAAATTATCCAGAGAAAAGTTGTTATAATGTTGTCATGGCTGCAGATTCAATCAGAGACTTGAATGTATGTTTCATTTATTCCATTACTGTTTTTACTACAAAAACTGGTACTACCTCTTGAGAACTTTTTGTGTGGTTGTATGCAGTGTGCTTTTGGGGATGTGGAGTTCGTGGATTTACTTAAGATGATCCGCATGGAAGATAAAATGTTATGTGACATTAAAACAGGAGGTTGTGGGAAGGAAAACTTTGTTCATCATGTTATAAATAGATGCCCGCCAATCTTCACAATCAGTAAGTTTAGACAATGATTGTGATCTTATGTATGTACTCATTTCAGTTAAAAATGTTGGTGTTTTGTGGGTTTGCAACATTAGTGTTGGAATGGGAAAAGAATGAAGGTGAAGAAGAAATATTTGAAACTACAAAGGCTTTGGACTGTGAGATAGATATCAGCAGGCTATACGAAGGCTTAGAGCCAAGAACTATGTACCGGCTTGTGTCAATGGTAAACAATTCTGCCCAATTGTTCTTCTGTACTTCTGTGTTACAGACTCATAATATGGAAATGCAGGTTTGCTGTGGTGAAGAAGAAGAAGAACATATCTTCCTAGCTTATAAAAAGGATCGCTGGATCAGTCTCAGACATGAAGCATTAGGGGAAGAGGTAAGACGAAACAAATTACCTTTGTCTTTCTCGAGTTGAATTGTGAACATAGACTGGTCAGACATTGTTGATATGTGTGGTGATGCCATAGGATGTTGGTGACTGGGAGAGTGTGGTCAGTTTCTGTGGAGAAAAGCAGGTTCGGGCAGAGATTATGTTCTATGAAGCTGTCCGATCGATGGCCTAACCAGTGACAGAATTATTATCAATGATAATAAGAAGTTGATGTAAAAAGCAATGACATGTTCCAATTCATAAGAAGTTTCGTTCTTGGTTCATATGAAGCTTCAGAAACAATGACATGCCAATTCATATGAAGCTTGAGAAAGAGTAAACAAACAAAGTTGAGTGACTTTCAGGCTTTAACAAAGTTTATCTAAAGCTACGTTGTAGTTGCCACAAAGAAAAATAAATTGCATCACTTTTGATTGTATTATCAGTTGTTGGCAAAATGCCTTTTCATTGTAAGAATTAAAATAGGTTTTTTTTTTTGCTAGACAATATGTTTGATATTGTTTCTGAACATTAGATTTTTGTAAATGTTTTAATTTTTTGTCCAAAAAAAGTAGGTAGTATCTAGAATATTCTATAAAAGGATTTTAAGATAAGTTTGAGATTTTTTATTTATTTATTTTTGGTAGATTTACTTTGATACCTTTGTTAGTAGCTTAGGCTTCTTGTGCGCTATTTAAGGAGAGCTTTGCAATGTATCAGCGTCAAGATAAACGAAATACGGTATTATTCTTTTTGAAGAAAATTGGAAATTTAATCTAACATTGAGGAAAATAATAAAGGTTGTAAACGAGTTTCTTTAGATATATAATTCTTATTCGTGCATTAGCCATCTTCAAGATATGCAAAATATGCCTGGAGAAGATTCACTGTCGAAACATGAGTCACCACAAGGAGAAGCTGTAACAGGATACAATTCCGCTCTTAACATGACGCTCAAGGTAAAACAGACACCTACCAAAATCAGATTCAAAACCTAAACTCTCTTTTACTGATTCAGATAATTCTTTACTTATTTTATTTGACATATTGTCATACTGCAGGCCCTCTTGAACATTAACGTTCTTAAAGATGATTTCGTTTCTGCTTTTGTCTCGGAAAACATAAAAGAGGATGGTCTCTACAGTTACCTGCTAAGAAACTTGCTTGCTTCCCCAGAAGATGTTGATTCCATGGTTTGTGTGGATAGGTTACTGTATTTACTGAATAGGTTTGGTTGTTGTCTTAAATGTCATTCAGTTTTTTTTTTTATCACTCTCTTCAGTCTAGTGATGCTACAGAAGTAGTCGTATCCATCCTTGAGTCTTGGCATTGTTGGAAAAGTCCAGAAGGAGAAAGCTTGGTAACTCGTCTTTTTACACTGGAAGAATATGAAAGAATGACTTGTAGCAAATGCAGAAAGCAGCCAAATTATCCAGAGCAAAATTCTTATGGTGTTGTTATGGCTGCAGATTCATTAAGAGACTTGAAAGTAAGTGTGTTTCATTTATTTCCATTCTTGTATTTACTACAAAAAAATGGTACTACCCACTAAAGAAGTTGTTGTGTGATTACATATACAATATGCAGTGTGCTTTTGGGGATATTAATTTTGTGGACATCCTTAAGATAATCCGCATGGAACATAAAATATTATGTGACATTAAAACAGGAGGCTGTGGAAAGGAAAACTTTATTCATCATGTTATAAGTAAATGCCCGCCTATCTTCACAATCAGTAAGTTTTAACCATGATTGTGATCTTATTTACTCGTTTAAGTTTTGATAAAAAAAAAAAAAAACAATTCATTGTTTAAAGCATTGGTATGGGAGAAGGATGAAACTGAAGAACAAATATCTGAAACGATAAAGGCTTTGGACTGTGAGATAGATATCAGCATGCTATACGAAGGCTTAGACCCAAACACTATGTATCTGCTTGTATCAATGGTAAAATCTGAAACAGGCTCAGAGATGTTTGTCATATTGTTTTTCTGTATTTCTCTGTTACAGACTCAGAATGTGGAAAATGCAGGTTTGCTGTGGGGAAGAAGAAGAACACATAGGTCTAGCTTATAAAAAGAACCGGTGGACCTGTCTCAGACATGAAGTAGTTGCAGAAGAAGTAAGAGGAAACTATATATTGCCTTTGTCTTTCTTGAGTTAAATTCTGAACGTAGAGTAGTCAGACATTATTGATATGTGTGTGGTAATGTCATAGGATGTTGGTGACTGGAAGAGTGTGGTCAGTTTCTGTGGAGCAAAGAATGTACGGCCAGAGATTCTGTTCTATGAAGTTGCAATGCCAATGGCCTAACCAGTGACATAATTGTTATCAATATGTTGCAATCCAAAAGAAGTTGTGTGCTTTTGTTTTTACTTATATGAAGCTTTATAAAGTGTTAAGACAAATAAAGTTGAATTGAGAATAGTTGAAGCTTTTACAAAAAAAAAAAATTTTAAACTTGCATACAAAGTTGTTCTTAATGTGGACTTTGATAGTTGCACAGATAAAATAGATTGCATCCAATTTAAAGCATCAAGTTTTCTTTTCATCTTAAGAATTAAAATAAGTTTTGTTTTGTTACTAGACAATGTTTGTTATTGTTTCTGAACATTATACTTTTGTTAAGACTTTTTTTCTTTCTTTTTTTTTGGTCATAAACCAAAATTACCAAACATAAAATAGTAGTTTCTTCACAGAACTTTTTTTTTATTAAACACTAACATTTGTGGTTTAAAAAAAAAAAACACAAAATCATAACATGTTTAGATGCAAAAGACTTTCGTAGTTTCAATCAAGTCTCTCAGCTTGTGTTTTCATGTACATAACAAGCAACAAGAGATCCTTCTTCTAAAAACAGTCAAAAACAGCAAATGTTTCTTCACCGTTGTTCTGCTAACTTTGCTAACATACTATCCAAATCCCTTCTCGTATCTCTCTGCTTGTTCACAATCAGTTCCCTCTCCTCAACCTGAAATTCAAGTAGGTGGAATTGAGAAAACAAACACACAAGAAAACAAAAACGTAAAGCAATTATGCAGTCCAAGTTGCTTACGTTTTCAAAAAATAGAATCTGTGGTGGCATATTGAGTTTTTTAAAAGTGCTGAGAACACTATCCCACTCTCCAATAACCTGAACAAGCGACATAACATACATCACTCACTCACAGATGGAGTAACTTGCCTGAAAATGTCCAAGCCTTACCTCTTCCTCAGTTCCAAAATGTCTAACCCATGTATTGTTTTCATAACCTATGCAATTGCATTGATCTCCATGCAAGCAAACCTGAATATTAGACGTTAGGGTAACATAATATTCAATAGGAAACTTAAATGGAAGTGAAACGAATTAGATACTTGGCCCCTTACCATTGACACAAGATGGTATTTGGTGTATGGACAGTCACCATCGAATTGGTATATAACACTAATATCTATCTCGGTCGAAAAAACAGAAATCGTTTCGTCTCTCTCCTCTAGTCTCATTGTTCTCCCACTCAAGACCTAAAAAATACAGAAACAAATGCTCAAAACTTATGTTGCTGATGCATACTGACCAATTAACTTAATTCGTGAGGCTTACCGATTGTAAAAACAGATGGAAGTATCTTTATCACACGTTCAACATAGCTTCGTTTCCCACACCCTTCCCTTTTGCAAAGCATCTTGAAGTTGATCCTGATGACCTTAAGGATCTTCTCAAACGAAAAATGCTTGAGTACAGACTGTGATGATAAACAAACAAAAAAACGTTTCTTGCTTCAGTTTCATGATTCTTGTTCGCTTAAAAGATGAGCAAAAAGATGACTTACTTTGGTTTCCCTGAGTGAATTTGCAGTGATGATTATACCATAAGAACACGGAGCTTCATATTTCATATCCGTTTTGCATCTGTTGCAGTTCTTTTCTAACATTTCGCAGAGTTCAAAGGGACGATCCCATCTAGGCAGAAGATTCAAGACGGTTACTAAAATATCTCCAATACCATTTTCTTCCTGAATAGTAGAGAAGAAGAAGCTTGAGAAACAGTAATTAACCACAGACACAAAAATATGTTTTAAAAGGTCAGAGAATAGAACCAGAGGGCGAGTGAGACTTAGATTTCTGAGAAAGTCACCATGAAGTTGGCCTAAATAAACATCTACGAATCTCTGATGTGTTTCTTGACAACAAGATATCTTGACATCGCTAAAGAAAACCTTAATCTTCCTCAGAGACTGCACAAATCACATTCTTGAAAACTTTAGACCAAACAAACAAGTTCGACTAACAAAGATTCAGACTGCACAATCATCACATTCTTGCAAAACCTTGAGTATCGTATCAAGAGCTGCAACACAAGCGGCGTTAGGTTTCTCTTCAGATTCCTCTGTTTTCATCGGCTTAGCAGCTTGGCCATGCGTTACTGAAAGATCTCTGAGCCACCAAGAAGACGAATTTCAGAGAAATTCTATGGAAAAAAATAAATATATAATCGTATGAGAACAATTCTACTACTTACGGATGTTTTTTCTGGTCAATTTCTTTGTCTTTCTCCACTTCTTGAGCCTCCGATGGCTCCCTCGCCATGATCAGGGTTGGAATCGGGCGATGTTTATTAACGATGGCGATTTTCTTTCTAATTTAAAGGAGACAAGTCAGGGAAAATGGGAAAGAGTTGAAGAGGAGAAGACGAAAAAACAGAGTCAGTTGGTTTGTCCACGTGATGGTGACGTGATATACATTGAGAAAAGAGCGCGAAAATTGATCTTCTGCAACAAGTAACCCTGAATCTCGAAGATTATGGTGTTGGGTACTTTTGTCAAACACTTGGTGAGCATAATTCATTTGCAGTTTCAGTAGACGATTACTTTCCTCTCTTTTTCTGCCTTTCGTTTTCTTTTTTTATTTCTCTCAATCGCCAGTTTCTTCATAATTGACTGATTATGAGTTGCATCTTCAACCCGTCCGCCTCACTTAGGAAAACGATTCAGAAAAATCTATGTAATTGTTTTTTTCTTCTTCTTCTTCTGATATATATGTTGCCTTTTCATTGTGATGTATCGGTATCTCTTTCAAAGATATCTATAGTGAGAAGTTCGGTTTTTGTTAATAAAATCTTTATTGGAGACAAAATGTTTGGGTTTGTGTGTTTATTCTTTGGATTCCTTTAAAAAAACCAGGGATTTTTTTTTTCAACAACAAGTATCTTACATTTAGTATTGGATATGATAGATACAAATGCATATTTTAGTGCTAAATTCAAAACAATCTTGTTATATAACAACAATGTGGATATTTTGATTCATACAAGACAATCTCTTTTGTGGATTTCTTTTGGTGTCTCATGAAAAATTAAATCTTTTGCTATATCAAAGCTAAAACAGGCAATGAAATCAAATTTGCAAAAGAACTTCAAAGAAGTGGGAGAATGGACAATGGTTGTCAAAACATTTAATCTATGCAAGATCATTCACACGGACCAAAATTATTATTTGCAATTAGATTGGTAACTCGTCTTTTTACACTGAAGTATATGAAAAATGAGTTGTAGCAAATGCAGAAAGAAGCCAAATTATCCAGAGCAAAGTTCTTATGACATTGTTATAGCGGGAGATTCAGTTAGAGATTTGAAAGTAAGTATGTTTCATTTATTTCCATTCTTGTATTTACGACAGAAACGGCGAACAAGAACAACATCTTTAAGAAGTTATATATATATATATATATATATATATATATATATATATATAATTTGTCGACATCTTTAGAATGATCCGCATATAAGAAAAAACGTGAGGCTGTGGAAATGAAAACTTTGTTCATTGCGTAATAAGTAAATGCCCACTTATTTTCACAATCAGTAAATTTTGACCATGATTGTGTTCTTATGTTGTCATTTCATTTATTATGATAAAACAATTGAATGTTGGTGTTTCCTCCCAGAGAGAGTAATTTGGAGGCACGGATCTATTACCGGCACAAGTGATATTCCCTCTGTTTCATCAAGAGTGTTATTTTGACATTTTTTTTTGTTATATAATAAGTGTCACTTTAAGTTTTCAATGCAAAATTTTATACTAAATGTCAGTTTTATCCCTATTATTTTAGCTTATTAATTATAGAGAGAGAATGTTTTAGTGTATAACTAAAGGGTATAACAGACAATTATAAGTTTTTCTTAATCTATGTGAAAAATATCAGAATGATACTTTTTATGAAACAAAAGGAGTATATCTTTACGTGGCATTTTGTACAATGTTATTGAATAATTATTGCTAGAAGGAGAAGGGACCACTGCAAGCAATTCCACAAAGGAAGTAGTCAAGATGGCTCGACCGCACGAAGAGCACACTACACATGAAGGGGCCCACAAAGACCAAGAACTTGACAGAGCCAAGGAGACCCCCACCTCTGCCAAGTTACATGAAGGCAATCCGACATTCCAAGATTTTGGACCTCAAAATAGTGCCCACACTGGCTCTAAAATCAAAAAAATCAGATCTACTAGGGTACAAAGCAATGGATGAAAAAAGTGCATAAAACGGAAGATGTGCAAAATAAATCAAGAAGTGATTTAAAAAGGCCAGAAAAGCGGTCACCGGATCTAAAAGTACGAGAATATATTTCACAAAGGACAAAGATCCCTGAGAAAAAAAGAAAGGATTGTTTAAATTAAAAGCTCGGTGGGCAAGAAGGCCCACCGACGAAGATGGGACTCGTGTCCTCTGTGCGTTTTGCTGTCCTGGAGCATCCGTCCCCACGACCCGTTCTGTCGGCGCTCCTCCTCATTCTCCTGCCTAAGCAGGCCGATCGTCGCTTGGCTGCTGGAAAAGACCTCAATCGCCATCAGCACGACATCAGGTTCCGCACTCGGAGTAAAGCTCCGGCACACTGTGAGGGTCTCGCAGAGTGAAGCAAGGTTTTTTTAGTCCCTTTTGATACTTCAAAGTTATCATAATCCCCAAATCAGATGTAGTATAGGGTCTTAGGTGTCAAACACACTTGTGGATGTACAAACAATGTTGTAAGCTAAGTGAGATTGGGGATTTTTTTTGTAAATTAATGATTCTAGCAACCTAGCAATGCAATAAGAAAAAAGCAGAAATAAGAAGCAAGTAAACAAAGACTAAGCATGAACTAAATGACAATGGCTAAGCAAGAACTAAGTGAGAATGATAACTAAAGCAATACTAAGAAAAATGATCTTAAGACAATTGATTAAAAGCAAGACTCAAGGTTCTAAGCAATTGTGGGATTAGTGGTTTTCAAGAGTGACAAAGGGATTTCTAGCAAAGGCAAACATCAAGCATTCAAAAGCAAGCATTTCTCAATGCTGAACTCCTAGAAAAAGTATCTAAAAGAAATCAGCTTGGCGTCAATAAGCATTTCAAATTCAATAAGATTGAAGTTTCAACCCCACTTGTGATGGCGTATTCTTCAACTATGAGCATAAAGATCAGAACAATTCTAGCCTAAGAGAAGTACTAAGCAAGCAAACATTCTCTCACTCAAGCAAGAATTCAGATCAACTTATCAATCTTGTGAACCATATAAGGACCTAGTTAGCTAAGCACCAATCAAGAGTATGGACTTAAGCACACAGTTGTAACACCCTAACAGTTCTAAGCAATGAAGAGGGATCAAACAAAGGCAAGATCTTCCTTGAGGTGGCCTGAACTTGCGTTATACTGCTTGTTTGACGGACCTTCGTGTGCTTTGTGTAACTTGAGATCCAACCGTGGGACTGTCCTCAAATCACTTCAGTGTGAATGGTGGTAGATTAGCCTATCTTTTCTCCAAAAGTAGCCTGATATCGTGGTGGGAAGGTGTCTGTTTGATGCTGAACGTTTTCATCTTGCACTTGTTCTGGAAATGCCTTTTTTACTCTACATTTTGCGCTTTTTTTGCTAAGTTTACATGAAAAGAGTCTTGATCATTCAAATACTTAAAATATGCTAAAAGCCATACTAAATACTTTGTAAAGCATTTACTTATGATATTAAAAATAGATAAAATATACGTGTTATATATGGTTTACCTCTAATATGTGGGATTGAGTATCAAATAGATTTTGTACCTGAACTTTTCTACCTAACCAACCAACTTAGATAACCAATCCAGTGGAGACCAATGAGTTGTAAAGAAAATTCAGCGAACTCATGGAGAAAGAATATATCCAAGACAGCATGAGCCCTTGTGATGTGCCAATACTACTTCTTCCAGAGAAGGCTGGAAGTTGGAGAATGTGTGTTGACTGTCGTGCCATCAACAACTTAACAGTTATGTACCGCCATCCTATCCCTCTTTTAGATGATATGCTAGGTGAACTGTATGGTTCTAGGGTATTTTCTAAAATTGATTTTAAAAGTGAATATCACTAAATTCGCATGAAAGAGGGTGATGAATGAAAAATTGTATTCAAAACTAAACACAAATTATATGAATAGTTAGTGATGCCTTTTGATTTAACTAATGCACCTGATACATTCATATGGTTAATGAATCATGCTTTTAGAACATTTTTAGGCATTTTTGTTGTGGTATATTTTGATGATATTTGGATCTATAGAAAAAGTTTAGATAATCATGTTGATCATTTGAAACCTGTTTTAGATGTTCTAAGAAAAGAGAAGTTACTTGCTAGACTGAAGAAGTGTAATTTTTACACAGATAATTCCTCTTTCTAGTCTTTGTTATGAGTTCACAGGATATACAAGTTAAGATCTAAAAGATCAAGTCCCAAAAACGTTGTTACACATATGACTTAAGATGTTTGTGGGCTTATAGTGATTATGAATCGCTGGAGCATACAAGAAGAGAGGAGTACCAAAAACAAGCAAATAAAAGGTGAAAAGTGATCTTTGACATGGAAAGTCTAGTTTGGGTACACTAAGAAATGAATGTTTTCAACTGAAAGAAAATCTAAACTCATACCAAAAATAGATGATCCATTCAAAGTTTTGAATAAAATCAGTGATAATGCTTACCAGAATGATTTGCAAGGTAAGTATAATGTGAGTTCAAGTTTTAGTTTTTCTAACTTAGTTCATTTTGATACAGATGAACCAAATTTGAGGTCTAATATTTTCCAAGATGAGGGGAATAATATGATTATGGGAAGCAACAAGGACAATTAAATACCTTGTACCTGAAGGACCACTGACTCAAACAAGAGTTAAACAGATGAGGATACACTTGATGGACTGATTTGCGAAGTTATGGACAAGGAAAACATTTACTTTGGTGATTTTAACTACCAAATCCCGTCTATTTGAATTTCAAACAAGCTCAAAAAAAACTCAAAATAATACATTTATTTGATGATAAAAAAAAGTGACAAAGGTGAAGTTAAAGAATTACATGTGAAGTTTAAGAGTTGAATTCTCATTTAACTTTTATTTTATATCTTTTAGTTTTAAAGAATAACTATTAATTGATTTTTCAAATATTTTTTTTATATATTTATTTACGAAAGAGTAACATTTTTTTATATCAAACTAGGTTAGTATTCATGCATTGCGGGTAATAAGATAATTATTAAATAATATCAATTTTAATTAAATTTTAGATTTTATTATATGTAAATTTGATAATTTTTTTAAAACTTTAATTATTCTTATTAAATATTGTTTTAAACAAATATTGTTATGATTTTTGTAATTACCTTAAATATTATTTTGCAATTATTGTTAACATATAAATTAGAACATAGAATGTTTGGAAATTAATTTAGTATATTAACTTTTAAAAAAATTAAAATTAAAAAAAAAATAGTGTTGATATATCAACAAAAATAGTTTTTAATTTTTTTTTAATATATAGTAGATATTTTGAAATGATTTTTTTTTTTTTTTTGAGCAAGTATTCTTTTTGTTTCTTGTAAACTTTTGATGTGTCATATTCAGAGAATCAAACCAGTTTATAGAGAGAGAGATAACTCGCAGATTTGGTTAATTTGATTTTTATGAGATGTAAATATACAAGTGTTGTTCAGTTCCTTTAATGGAAGCATCATTGTTGGGGTTTAAACTATCTAACAAGTTGGTGTAAACAATATATACATAGCATGGATTTTGCTTTATTGATTTACTATTGTCACTTGTTAGCTTCATAAAACAAAAACTCTGGCCGAACCTTCCTTTTCCCGCAGAACACGACCACACTATTCCATTTACCAACAACCTGTGATTCACATCAATAAGGTTAAGTTCACATCTCAACTCAAGAAAGACAAAGGCAACTGTTCTGTCTTTACCTCTTTTGCTAAAGCCTCATGCCTGAAACTGACCCACCGATTCTTTTTATAAGCTAGGCAGATGTATTCTTCTTCTTCATCACAACCAATCTGCATTTCCATATTCTGAGAGTGTAACAGACAAACATAGAAGTAACAATAGGACAAACATTTGTGACCCAGTTTCAGATTTTACCATTGACACAAGCCGGTACTTTGTGTTTGGTTCTAAGCCTTCGTAAAGCCTGCTGATATCTATCTCCCAATCCAAAGCCAATATTGTTTCAGATTGTTCTTCTTCAGTTTCATTCTTCTCCCATTGCAATACTAATGTTGTAAAGCCACAAAACACAGACATTGTTAATTTGTTCTAATACATAATACATAATAATCATGGTCTAAAAAATTACCGATTGTGAAGATAGGCGGGCATGCACTTATAACGTGATGAACAAAGTTTGCTTTTCCACAGCCTCCAGTTTTAATGTCACATAACATTTTTTCTTCCAAGCGGATCATCTTAAGGATGTCCTCAAACTTTATATCCCCAAAAGCACGCTGCGTATATATATAAATAACCAGAGGAACAACTTCGTAAGGGATAATACCAGTTTCTGTAGGAAAGAAGCATATGGGAAATAAATGAAATATATATACCTTCAGGTCTCTGATTGAATCTGCAGCCATAACAACACCATAAGAACTTTGCTCTGGATAATTTGGTTCCTTTCTGCATCTGCTACAATTTATTCTTTCATATTCTTCCAGCGTAAAAAGACGGGTTACCAAGCTTTCTCTTGCTGGACTTTTCCAGCAATGCCAAGATTCAAGGATGGCTACGAGTAGTTCAGCAACATCACTTGACTGAAAAAGAGTTAAAAACCAGAATGACATATAAGAACCAAGTAACATGCTCAGAAGCAAGTAACACGTTTAGCTCCAGCACAAACCATGGAATGAACTTCTGCTAGGGTAGTAAGTAACTCGCTCAGGAGGCAACTGTGGATTCCCTCTTGTCCTTCCAGGTTGTCAAAAAATTGACTACGATTTTGCACCAAATAGTCTTTAAGAACCTTAATGTTACAAAGGCTCTGCAGCAAAATAAGTCAAAGAAAAAATTAAGAAAGTAAGGAAATAACACATGGAAATAAAGAAATAAGAATCATGAATCTTAAAACAAAGAAATACTCTTTTGTCAGTGTCTGTTTTACCTTAAGCGTCATGTCAAGAGCTGAACAGTATCTGGATGGACCTTCTCCATGTGCTGGCTCCGAATGTTTCGACAATGAATCTTCTCCAGGCATGTTTTGCATAACTTGGAGATGACAAATTGAAAGAAATAAGAATTATGCATCTCAAAACAACTTAATTTAGAAGCTCATTTACAACCAAGGTCACCTATAGCAGCATCCTCTTGATTGTCAGTGATCGATGAAACGTGTTCCATCGAATCTTCTTCTGCCTTTTTAAGTGATGGAGAAGTAACACCCAGGTCAAGGTTGACAGAAGATTCACTGGACATATGTAAGAACACGTTTTGCTCAGCGAAAACATACAAACAATTATTATCAACTTGTGAAGACTCCTGGGAAAGTACTTACTGTTCCACATTCTGATCAAGAATTCCAGACGTGCTCGTTGAAGTTCTCTGTTACGCCATGAATGCAATTCATTCTTACAACTGACTAACCGAAATAAATCAGAGAAGCAATTAGGGATTTTTGCATCTTCAACAACCTTTTTGTTTCTGCTTTTCTTCTTCTTTGACCCTGAATTCTTCTCTTTTTCTTGTTTTCTCTCGGATAAAAGATCCGCTTGTGCTGCAGCTAACTCTTCCTAGAAGACGAGACATCAATTTTAATACAAGGTGCCTGTCAAAGCGAAAATCATAGGGAAGATGAAGGCTCTCTGTATAAGACCTTGTTGCTTTTATTTTTCTTCTTCTTTGACTGTGATTTCATTTCCTCCTCGAGTAAAAGATCTGCTTTTGCTGCAGCTAACTTGGCTTTTGATTCCATATCTACAATTCCTTCCTACACAGTGAGACATCAATATAACATAAGGAACAAGTGAAAGACCAAATAAGAGGGACGATGAACGAAAACTCTCTGTATAAAACCAAAGTTTCAATCCAACCAGCAAGAATTCTTTCATCGGTCCAAGGATATAAGAGCGGTAGTCAAAAACAGAAAGTCTGGTGAGGTAGTTCAGCAAATTAACCATTGAGTTTTCAATCAGTAAAACCTTTGAAGCAATTAGAGGAACCTGCAAATCAACAAACACTTTTAAGATAGATATATATATATATATATATATATATATTCACGATATCATGTATGATAATTCAGATCAAGAAACAAACCTTTTTGGTCACCAATGATTTCAAGTGGTCTATGGACTTCAGCACTAATTCATCACGGACATTTTTACACCCACGTATAACATTCAGACAATCTTCTAAATCAGGGAGATCGAATATCGGATGCGAAACTCCTTTGAGAATATCTCGTACTGCAGTAAAGTACAGTTTTGTCATGAAAGAATCTTTGGGGTCTGTCGTTAAACGCTTCTTTTCACATTTATCGCATAGAAGAGATGCATACAAGTTCCACTGATCTTTCGGAATATTTCTTCTCCTTTCATCTTCGCATATACACAAGTTCTTGGCGTCAATAAGAACTTTGTTAAAATGTTCGAGAGTGCATTTCTTTGAATATTTGGTTCCAAAAGCCTTACACGTGAACTGAACAGCTCTCAGAACAGCCAACCAAATATCAAGATTGTGTGCCCTGATTGGTCTGGGAAATCGAAATCTCTCGTCTCCTAAAGAGTGGTCAGCTAACCAGGATGAGATATCGTTGCCACGAGCATGTCCCTCGGCATAGTAAGCAGTGGGATTTAAGAAACTGATTGTCCCATCATCATCGAACCGATCAATCTTGCCTCTTAGTAGTCTCTTATCCAGAAGCAGAAATGAAAACTGAGTGTCAAAATCGATCTTTTCTTTAACTCGAGTACTATTGCAGAAACTGTCCACTGCTCTGCGAACCAGATCAGTACCATCCTCCCTTTCACACTTGATTTTCTTGAGCAATTCCAGGATTTGATGGAGTTCACGGCATTCCAAAAAGCAGATACTCTGAGGTGTTTCCATTAGGCGACAAGCGGTAAGAGAATCTCTGGAAACTTCAAGCTTTTCAAGTTGGCTAACCACTAAATCCATCACCCAGTCCTGAAGGCCACAAGAAAGAACCTTGCTGTCCCAAATCGACACAAGGAGAGATCTGATTTCCTTGAGTAACTTACTCCGCTCTTCATCAGCAGCTAAAGGCCAGCCTTTGGACCATCCATTCTCACATGCAAACGCTTTCACATCTCCGAGGTGATTTCTAATCATTTCAATGGCAGCTACTGCATCTACTGGTTCCCAACTTCCATTAGATATCTTACTACCCCATGCACAGGCTTTACTTATCATCTGGGCTATATCCTTTGTTACATGAGTTTGAAATCCTGCGTCATGTTCTTGTTCAAAATGATTCTTGCATTCTTCAGCACTAGAGAACTCTTGTGAACAAGATCGACATACCCAAAACCTCCATTTTTGGCCTTTCCTAGCGGAAGTGAGAGCTTTCTCCAAAGCATCTCGTCCCTCTGCGCCATATAATCTCTTCACATAACTTGTAAAATCCGCAATGCTTACTTTCATAAAGTTCCTTCTTTTCTCAACATTCAAACCCGACCAGTATGACCTCAGCCCTTTAACGAAGTCAGATTCACTCTTCCTCGTCTCTTCATTTTCCTTCGTCTTCTTAACTTCTTGTTCGCAGTTCTTTGACTCCTTGACGAAATCAGATGCATTCTTGGATTCAGCAATCCTTGACTCTGCAGTTTTGATTATATATTCCACATACTCTAAGTTTACTTGTGAACTCTGTTTAGCCTTGCCCAGTGATTCCTTGTAATACAATACCGATTCAATCTGTTGGGCCAATTCAAAAAGCGACATTGCCGCAAGCGCTGAGAACCCACGATATGGGGAAAAGGTTTCTACAGAACCCAGAAAGTATATGAATTTCAAATCGGTGTTCTCTGTATTCTTCGCTAGGTCGTTGAAGATAGTACCTTGCAGGTAAGCCACAATACCCTTGTCCTTCCCTTGAACGAAAGACAAATCTTCAATTACCTCCAAGGCCTTGACGTAATCATCTTTAGCGTAGAGATCTTGGGCAAGTTTGAAAAGCTGATCGCCCTTAACATCTTCCAGGGAAGGAAGATCCATAGCAAACTCCAAGGAACTTGCGTTTTCTTGGTCTCAGAAAGTTTTGTTTCAGAAACAAAGTAGAGGCGGGAAAAATCAGCAAGTATGATGGAGAGAGGAGAAAAAAAATAAAAATAAGAGAGAAGAGATATAAAAGATGCTGGCTTTGTCACGTACGAGGCACGTGACAAGAGGGGTTTGGCAAAAAGTACAAAAGATGTTTGTTTTGGGCATTGAAGAATTACGTCGAACAACTTGTGGGCGTTCTTCGTTCGGAGTAATAATAAAGCTATTTGGGTTAAATTCCACCTTCCCCGGAGTAAATGGTGAACAATAAACCAAAAATTGTGTAGGGAAGCAAAAAAAAGGATTTCGAATTTGGGAGTGTAATGGATTAAGAGTAGGATGATGTTCATGTTCGGGATCGGGATCAAATTGTCCATGGCCATACAACGAACAAAACTGGTTGATAGGTTTGGGCATGGAGATGAGTGATAAGAGACACAGCGATTCAATAATTTGGAAGGCTCGTAAGATTTGTTATCATTTTTTTTTCCCACAGAACAACTACTTCATTGATAATTAAATTGTGACATTACATAATCTTTATGAAGTATCGGAGTTAGATAAAGAGGTAAAAAGAAACGGGAAGAATAATATAGAGAATCGGGAGGAGTATGGGAAGCGATAGCATGAGCGGCTCCGTTATTCTCCCTTTTAGTGAAGCTGAAGGTGCATCCTTGAATGTAAGTACCCCAGAGCCGGATATCCTTGCAGAGATTGTTGATATGGTAATCAATAGAGCAACCTTGTAATTGTTGAATTAGGATTTTGGAATCGCCCTCAAAAATAATGTTGTGGAAGCCCATGAATCTACAGCTTTTAATCGCCATTAACAAAGCTTTTCCTTCAGCCTCTAGGGGAGTGTTAGCTGTTCCTAAAACTGCAGATCCCCAAAATTTTGCAACACCCATATGGTCACGTACAATCCAGCCAGCCCTGACCTGCCCTGTAGAAGGATAAAATGAAGCATCGAAATTGCACTTAACATACCCGTCAGGAGGTCTAATCCAGTGTTCTATCAAATTTCTTCTATCTGGAGTGATTTGATGATTGTTCAGACATCCATTGAGTGGAAAGCTATTTGCATTGAGCCATTCAGTAACATCACCTCTAGCGTAGGCAACATCTCTCATCGGATTTGGTATCTTATGGTTGAAAATCAGATCATTACGAGATTTCCAAATTCTCTATAGTAGCCAAAAAGGAAGAAGTTTCACTGATGTTGCAAGAGAGGGTTCTTCTTGTAAGTCCAGTAATCCCTTTATTGTTTCTTCAATATCATCTGAAGGTGATCGTAACGGATCGATGTTTAAATTCGAGTGTTTCCACGTCATACTCGAAAAAGGACATTTGAAGAAGAGATGGTCAATTGTCTCATCCTCTATGCAACATCTTTGACAAGTAGTATCCATATGAATACCCCGTGTTCCTAATCTAGTTGCCGACCCTATAGCCTTTGATAGAATACGCCAAAGAAAATGCTTTATCTTTGGAAGAATTGGCAATTTCCAAATACGAGCTTTGAGAACTGGATCACCATGTGGGACCTGGGCTATATCAACCACACCTCGTGCCAAATAATATCCAGATTTCGCAGAATACTCGCCATTGTTGTTGAGCCCCCAAACAATTGAGTCTGGTTCACTTTTTTAAGCCAAAAACAGAGATTTAACCAACATTTTATCTGTCTTTTGTAAATACAGATCAAGCTTTTCATCATTCCATCTCCTTCCTATCCCAATGCTTTCAATCAAATCAGAGACACGAAGAGAGGCATTACCAGTGTCACAAGCGGGTCTCGGAGGATTGGTAGGTAGCCAGTTGTCCTTAAATACTCTGATATCCATCTCGTCTCCAACATTATAACACACACCTTGTTTGATAATCTTTAAACCTACCAATATAGAAGACCATCCATACGACTGCTTATTCTGAGACGTAGCTTGCAAAACTGAACAATCCTTGTAGTACTTTGCCTTAAACAGACGTGCAAAGAGAGTGTCCGGGTGTTTTAGAAGTCGTCAAGCTTGTTTAGCCAAAAGCGCATCATTGAATTTTTCCAGATCCTCAAATCCAAGCCCACCCTCTTGTTTTGAAACCTGCATCTTCTTCCAAGCAACCCAAGGGATTCCTTTTCTGTCTTGATTTGTCTCCCACCAAAAACGAGATATAACACAAGTAATATCTTTTACCACGTTAGATGGAGGTTTGAAACATGTCATAGAGTAGACAGGCATGGAAATTGCCACTGATTTCAATATCACCTCCTTTCCGGCTTGGTTTAATTGTTTTGTACTCCACAAAGAAGTTCTCTTCTTAACTCCCGCAATGATATAGTTAAAAATGTCTGATTTTTTCTGTCCAAATTGCTCAGGCAAACCCAAATATTTTCCACCCCCACCCTGATTTTGAATTCCTAGAATGGTTTTCAATCTTGATTGTAGATCAGGAGGGATTCTCGAACCGAAAGTGATCATCGATTTGGATGGATTGATCATCTGTCCCAAACACTTCTCATAAATCTGGAAAATCTCTTTAATGGCTCTGCAATTCTTGTTATTTGCTTGACAAAAAAAACAGAGAGTCGTCAGCGAATAACAAGTGCGTGATGGCAGGAACACCATTCCCTATCTTAATTCCTCTAATATGTCCTTTCTGAGCGTTAGTCGACATCAGATAGCTCATAACATCAGCACAAAGGATGAACAAATATGAAGAAAGAGGGTCACATTGGCGAATACCACGCTCCGGCAGAATGTAGCCTTGAGGATTCCCATTTATTAGAACCGAGAAACTAACAGAACGAACTGTTTCCATAATCCAAGAAATCCATAAGTCGTTGAATCCAAAGGCTTTCAAAGTCCTCTCCAAAAAATCCCATTCCACACGATCGTATGCCTTACTCATGTCAGTTTTTATCGCCATATACGTTTGCGACACTCTCTTCCTTGCCTTCAAAGAATGCATTAATTCGTTGGCTACCAAAACATTATCTGACACCAAACGTCCCAGAATAAAAGCAGCTTGAGCTTCAGAAACTATACAATCCAGGAACACTTTCAACCGCCCAACCAGCAACTTGGAGATGATCTTGTACAAAACATTGCATAAGGCTATAGGTCGATAATCCGAAAGGGTGATTGGTTTTGTAATCTTTGGTATCATACAGATATTAGTATGATTGACGCCAGTTTTCATAGTTTTAGTTTCAAAGAAGCGTTGTACCTCTGTAGTAACATCTTTCCCAACAATGTCCCAGTAACGTTGATAGAACCTTGCTGTAAAACCATCCGGTCCAGGTCCTTTATCTGCTCCAATTGAGCAAACCGCATTGTAGATCTCAGCGTCAGTGAAAACCCTTGTTAAAGACTCGTTTATAGAATCGGTGACAGTAGGCTTAAAACCAGAAAAAATCTCGTTCTGGATCGGACTTTTATTACTCGAATAAAGCTTTTTAAAGAAGCCCTCTGCATGTTTCCCCACTGCTTCATCCCCTTTGTAGACATTCCCAAATTCATCAAAGAACGAGAAGATTCTGTTTCTGGAAAATCTGGTTTTAGCAAAGGCTTGATGGAATTTAGTATTTCGATCACCCTTAGTAAGCCATGTATTCCGACTCTTTAAAAACCAATATATTTCCTCATCTCTGTATGCCGAAGCTAATTGCTGTTTCAGGAAGACCACCTCATCATTCGAAACAGTAGTATTCATCGTAGCCTTCTCCAACTCTTGTTTTAGTTCCTCAATTCTTCTTGCAGAATTAATATTGGAGTTTCTTTTGAAAAGAGAGAGTGATTTCCTGCATTCACGTATCTGCTCAGTTATAGAGGAATGAGGTCCCAACATCTGAGAATTCCAACCTCTCGCTACATATTCACTGAACTGCGGATGTTGCATCAACCTCTTATCAAAACGGAACTGATTTCTTCGACCATAGGGGACAACTGCAATGTGAGTGATGACAGGGCAATGGTCAGAACCATATAAACCTAAAAATTCTGCCTCTGATGCCGGAAAAGACGCAAGCCATTCTGAATTACATGCTACCCGATCCAGACATTCAAAAACCTTGTGAGTATATCTATTTCCCACCCACGAAAACTTATTTCCTGTTGAGCGCAGGTCTTTTAAATCACATGAACTGTGCATGTTCCTCAAACCTCTGAAAGTCCATTCCTCCCGTCGTGGGCCACCTTGTTTCTTCTCATTAGAAAGAATTTCATTGAAATCCTCCACAACCGACCAAGGACCATTACGAACTCTTGCAATTCTTTTTATTATTTCCCATAACTAATGCCAATACTTTTGGATAGGATGACCATAAAGACATGATAAGTAGAAAGTCATTCCATTATAATCCACAAAGACGTCAACAAGCCTTACATCTTCATAGATACTCCTAATAGATACATCTTTCTTCCACATAATAGCTAGTCCTCCACTTCTACCGAGGGGAGGCACACATATAACTGAAGCAAATCCTAAGGAAACTGAAACATTCCTAACGACATCTGAAACATTCTTTGTTTCTACTAAAAACATAATATCCAGCGAAACCTTACGACACAACTCCTTCAACCTTGAATCCGTCAAATCCGCCCCCAACCCCTGACAGTTCCAGGAGCATATCTTCATGGGTCCAACAATGGGGGTACCGGGCCCCCCGCGCCTCTGTCTATAATTTGGTTAACGGAGAAAGAGTCTTCTGATTCACCTCCATAATCTCTCTTCTTGAAAGGACTTAGAGCCCTCCGTGCATCATATAAAATAGGAGAGACTTGGGCGTCTTCCTCCTCCTGGCGCTTTCTCTTATTGAGACCATCTCCTTCCATAGCAAAATCCGTGAAGCCATCAACACATTCATCCTCTCGGAACTTTCCTTTTGCACGCCTGAGATCACGAAGCCTTAGCGTCTCAGCGAGTAGAGGGTCAAGGTCGTCACCCATCTGCTTAACAAG